TTGTATGGAGACCTGTCCTCGCAAAGCACCATGGGATTTGGTGTCACAGCTCTGTTGCCATAGGCTGCCGCTACCCAACAGTGGTGACTAATAAAAAAAGTTGGCGCAGGCACAGCGTACTGTAGGCGTTACATGACCAACATAGCAAAGAGCAGTGATCACCTGTCTGAATGGTCAGTTAAATTAGTTTGCAATTAAGTCCACTATAAAGACCCCACTGTATGTAAGCTTGTATGAGCTATGAGAAAAGCACATTTTAAACAGGGCATGCACGAGGAGAAATGGGTTTAAGCACGCTCTTGCACACACTTTTTATTTTTAAGTGGAGAGGGCGGGTGTTTTAAAAAATCCTCCACAATACCTTTAAAGTCTAATCACTGAGACACAGGAGCCATTGGAAGGACTTTAAAACTGGGCTGATGTTCTCCGCTTTCGTAGATCCAGTGAGGACGCAGGCGGCAGCATTCTGGATCGATGCATCAATTCTACTAAAGATGAACAAAGGAGGAATTCGTTTTTCATTGTCCTCCTGAGACATCAGGCCTTTTATTCCGGAGTCGTTCTTCAAGTGACAGAAGGACGACTTTGTTCCTGTCTTTATGAGCCTCAGAAGGTCCAGGTCTGAGTTCATCGCTACACCAAGATTTACCCCGCGGCTCACACCGACTCCGGTCTTACCGTTGCTGTGCGGTGGGTGTGGCGCCGCAGTGATTCCAAGTCATTAAAAAGACGTAAACCTCTCTCACCGGCTGCTGAGCTGTCCGGCTGCGGTTACCGAGACACTCCGGCGCTGCAGAAAATTCCGCAAGAAAGCTATCCTTGCGGCGTGCCGGAGCCCTCCGCAACAAGCTCTCGCAAATATCCTTTTTTGGGCCGTGTTATCGCGGGAAGTTACGTGAACTCAAGTGAGCTTCTGTTCTTGCGAGTTAAATCTCCGGACCTGTTGCCAGAGCCGCAGAGCCGCACCGCACCATAGTCAAAAGGGCGGTGTGAGAGGGGGTGTGCGGGAGTTGCTGTCTCCGTCGGCTCGGTAACCGCACCGGAGCCAGTGTGAGCAAGGGGTTACAGCCTAGCCGCTGCTTTCTAGCTGGATTACTTTTAATTGCTCTTCATTTGATCCGAAAGTATTACTTCAGTTTTGCTTTGATTCAGCTGAAGACATTTTTGTCTCATTCTTGTGTCGATTTCTTCTCTGCCGTCATCATAGTGATGGTAACTTATGCTGTTGTTTATTAAGATCTGAGTTAGGGAGAACATGTAGATAACAGATAGGAAGAGTCCTAAGGCGGACCCTTGCTGAACGCCACATGTGATTTCTCTGGTCTCTGATATAAAGTTGCCTACTGCTGGCACAAAAAACAACCCCCATTCGTCAAAAAGGATTTAACCCAGTGTTGGACCAGGAAAGGCCAACCCAGTTTTCCAGGCTCTTGAAAAAATTTGAGCGACCAACAGTGTTGAAAGCTGCACTAAGATCCAATCATACCAGCACCGTAGTTCTTCTACAGTCTGCATTTATGCCAATGTCACTGAAAACCTTGATACGGCGGGCTCTGTACTGAACTGCACTGAAGCATGACTGGAAGACATCAGAGTAACTAATCATTGTTAAAATGGTGTTTAAATGTTGAAACATAGTTTTTTTTTTATTTTTTTTTTATATATAATGTTACTGATGAAGGGGAGGTTTAAGATAGGCCTGCAATTTTGATCAGGATGTAGCCTTGCCCTATACTAATTAACTGATAGTGGCTGAACAGTAATATGAGCAAATATTTAAGCAACATAAACCCAATGCCTCTATCCAAATATTCCCAGTGTGATGGCAGCCTTTTAAATATACAGCCTCTGCCTGCATTTTTAGTTGTTTTTTATGACCTGTGTGAAAAATCACAGCTTAATAATTGAAAATGAAAAGCCCCTGCAAGCTGCAAACTGACCAGGCCAACTGTTTAAACCAAAGCAAGCCAATTATAGCGTGTTTTGTTGCAACACTTGCACTGAAAAATATTGAACAGTACCATGTAACTAGCTGATACTGGCCTTCAGATGTCTAAATAAACCATTTATATCCACAGATATCAGTAGCAGCTTAATTTGATTTTAAGATAAAGATAGAGGATATAAATCAGATATTAGAGGATTTTTCAAATTTTTGAGACTTCTGATTACAAATAAAACACAGGGGGTTTGACAATAGCTAGGTTTTAGCTTTATGCCTACAGACCACACATTATTTAGAGGGAACTGGTATGGTGAGCCCAAATAGAAATCAATTACACTGAGGTGAGCAACACAAAACAGATGCCCCTGGAAAGATCCCAGTTCAAATAAATCCAGCTATAGAAGGCATGCATGCTGTTTACTGCATATACTGTCAAGGTCTGCAAGTGCATACATGTGAGATGGACGTTGCTGACACCAGCTTTGTCTCCACATTCAGATTTTTTTGAAATGCACCAACATGCAGGAATTCAAAGACTCTCAGTAGGCCATGACGTGACGTCCCGTGACATCTTCACAGCCCAACACCTTTAAATCAGGAATGCACGCAAGCAAACGAAGAAGAAAAAAAGGAGAAGAAGCAGTGATTAAAGAGGGTAACAGGATCAGGTCTATTCAGCTTGCTCTGAGAAAATGCCAGGGAATTTTTCAGCCACTGTCAGGTCACTCCGAGTCGTGATTTCTTTCCCTATTAATTATGTGCCACGCCGCAGAAAACTTCCTCTGCTCTGTGAACAACCTTCTCTGCTTTCATGAGTCGGTGCAGACTGATCAAAACAGGCAGCAGAGAGTCAGTGTCGAAAAGCAAACTCCCTTTTTTTACATGCCAGACCTCTCATTTCTCTGACAAAGAACAATGGTCACCTCTTACCTAATGGCACTGGCACAGTGAAAGCTCCTCCAGTCAAAAGGGGGAGCAGAGAGGGCAGGAAAAACAGCTAACAATTATCCAAAGACATGTTTAATCATGTGGTAAATTCTGTTTTCTCAAGCCAAATCTTTTGATGCTGAAAATATTTAGAGCTTGTAGTAGAGATTTAATTTGGAGATACGGCCTGAGCTGAGCACTGAGAGAAGAAGAGAGCGAGGAATGATAAACAGGCATGTTGGACTCATCACTGATGGAGAAGCTCAGTGACATCCCCTGTTATGACCCCCATCCCTTTTTAGCTGAGATTCCCAACACTGCTGTAGAGCACAGTGGTGTGTCAATGCTGCCCTCTGATGGTCAGAGATGGGAATGCAGATCATCTCTAACAGATTTCCAAAAATTTGAAAAATATCTGAGGTGTCAAAAGTATTCATTTTATTAGTTTATTACTCCAATATAGGTATAAATCCTTCTGTTTAAAAACACTTTTGTAGAAGTTAGGGTTTTTACAGGTAAAAGTGTAAAAGCATAATTTTTTAACTACTTAAAGAATAATAGTAAAAGTAATATAGTGAAAAATCTTAGGACATATTATCTTAACCTTTTACTGGTCAATGCACTACCTTGTTAAATGAACATTTTTTCTACAATTCTGGATGATAACTTCCTTTTAATTTATTTTCCTGATTTTATAACTTATGGAAACAGTGTTAAATTTAGCTTTGCATCGTGTTGAAAAATTATTTTTTTGGTATGTGGTGAACAACAAATTGGTGTAGTGCCGAGTTCAATCGCAAAGAAACTCATTGTCTGGATGAAACTTATTACTTTGATGGTTTTTATTTTTACTAAATACCAACAGGTGATAACAAAAATGAGCTTACAGTAGATGAAAAAACGAATTAGATTATGTTTAAACTGTTATGAAGAGAAAGTAGAGATAATTGCAAAAAAAATGTAAAGAATAAAACTAAAAAATTGCAAAAAAAATGTAAAGAATAAAACTAAAAAATAGTCTAAAAAATAATTACTCCAGTAAAGCCAACATTTCCACTTATGTAAGGTAAAGAAGTATTTGTTTGTCGACACCTCTGTAAAATATTAGGCAGTTTCAGGAACTGACTGCTGCAAATTGACCCTCCAGAAGTCCTTTAATCAGGTTTAACGTGAAAAAAACTTTAAAAAGAGCATTTTAATTGTTGATCTGATTAATCTGAATTAAACGTCTTTGATTTTGGTTGAAAACTAAGTTTTCCTAATGTCAAAGATAAAGATATCTTTTCAGATCCTATCACAGAGAAAAATTCCCTCAACTAAATACTAAGACTTCTAAGTCTTTCTCATCTTTGACTAATATTATCGCTGCTTTGTTCTGCCAGCAGAAACTGTAATTAATAATAAATGAAAACAGAGTAATACTCAATAACTGCTTTATACTAAAAGTTGAAGGGTTTTTGGATGGACACACTCTTTACATTACAGTTTTTGAAAATTGTTCAGGCATAAAAACATTGATCTAAAATCAGCAAAATATGTATTTGAAACCATAGCCTGAATATTACATTCAGGTCTGATTATATGTTCTTTCTTTCTTTCTTTCTTTCTTTCTTTCTTTCTTTCTTTCTTTCTTTCTTTCTTTCTTTCTTTCTTTCTTTCTTTCTCTCTCTCTCTCTCATTGTCCACAATGTTATATATATATATACATACAACAGACATCTTGGTAGAGGACCCGAGCTTTGAGGAAAACATGTGTGCTGTGTTTTTTACCGTAACATATCCCTCCATGTTGCATTCGACAGCCATAGACAGGCATGAATGTCAGCTGGAGCTCTCTGCATGGAGAATCCCTGCATGTTTCATGAGACTAAGCATGCATGGTGTTTCTGTTAAGTCTTAAAAGGAGCTACTGCCTCCTTAAAGCCCACTTCACCAGGTGAGAATTTGCTTTAATGCAACAGTGCTATGAATCTATGCAGCCTACACATCAATTGTGAATCATTTAAATAGATAAATGTAAAAACAGAGACTTGATTAGCTTTAGATACATAATGTGTTTATTTACAATACTGAATAAAGATATAGACCGTTTTATTCATTTACACAGTGTACAGTCATGGAAGTCCTCTCTGCAGTTGCAGTGAACTCCCTCTGGGGGGTTCTGCTGTGGCTGGGTCAGGTGTCCATCCTCTCATCCCATCCAGGGCCTCCAGATGGTTGACAGGGATTCTGCTGGTGACACCTCTCTGTGTGGGAGGTGCAGCGGGGGTATCAATGAAGTTAACGGGGGGACGTGGAGACCAAGAGGGCTGGTGTGAGGAAGTGTGGGTGAGATACTCAGGAAGGAGGTGTTAGAGGACGGAGGTGACAGGCTGGGGGGGAAGCTGAGGGGACAGGCGAAGGACGGGAAAGGAGGAGAAGCAGTAAATGTGGAGAAAGAGGGGGAGAACCAGGGGGAGGGAGGTGGGGAGAGGTAGTCATGGTGTGGCGTGGAGCAGGACAGGGGCTGGAAGGAGGGATGGGAAGGAAAATGCAGCCAGGGAGACTCTTCTCTGCTGTCGGATGGACAACCCGCCTCCAGGGACGCAGCTTCAGGCTCCTTGGTGACGCTGTGGATGGAGTTCAGTCTCTTTTCCAAGCTCTCTGAGTGGTGCTTAAGTCTCTCAGTGAGGCTTGTTCTCTGTGTGGGTGGGATCCTGTGCATGTAGTTGTTGAGCTGGACCATACACTGCTGGTAACCTGCACTCTCACTGCTGAGCAGAGGAGCCACTCTGGACTCCATGGATCCAAATTTCCCAAAAGCTGCAGGACTCCTCCGGCCTGCACACGGGAAATACACACATAGTACCAACAAAAAGAAGATGTCATTTAAACTTCAGCCTTAAAAAGGAATTTGTAATAAAGATATTTAATTATGACTGACCGTTGTTTAAGTCTTTCCCATCGGTCCACTTCTTAAGATACTCCACAGCCAAGTCCAGAATCTCTGCTTTCTCTATTTTGGGATTCTGGAGTCGCTGGTTTCCATAAACAAGTCAAATAAAAGGGGCAAAAACACAAATCATCATTGACCTAAAGACTTGTGAACAATACTGTAAGAACAGAGATGTGACAGCTTTGACTTGACTCACGGGATCGGACGTAGTACGCAACAGTAAACTTCTCAGCTCAGCAAGACTTTGATTTATCCGATCCCTTCTCATCTTCTCCACAACTGGCTTCAAAATCTAAAAACAGGTAAATTGAAGTTTTCGGAGCTTTATAAACAGTCACCTGTAGTTTGTTAGAGTACCTGCTGCTCTAATTAGCTACAGAGCTTATTTTAAATGTTGCAACACTATTGCTGGATCCAAAACCCTTTTTTTTTGTTTTCCTAGAAGGTCAGGTAGGTCAGATGGTCCTTTGAACAAACCTGCAAGAGGACTTCAAGTTGGCCGCCCAAGAGCTGGCTTACAAGTGATAGAGCATCACAATGATCAAACAATGCTAATAAAATGAGTCAGACACATACAAATGAAGGTTATTGGAAACAGGAATGCCGACTGATAACAATTAAAAGCAAAACAAAGTCTCCTACCCTTTTTCTACTCCTCCCATCTTCAGGAGTTCGGCTTTGTTTCTTCGTCATGATGTCCAAACGTCTCTGCAGAAGTTGAAAAACTCTCTGGGATGGCAGTGGGTGCTTATAAGTAGACCCTGACGGCTGCTTCTGATTGGCCGCTGGGTGTGAGTGAGGGGAGGCGGGAGAGCAGGGGTGTTATAAGGCCTGCATACAGAGTATGTGAGACCTGTTGTACTTTCCCACAGTTTGTTACATTACTGCTGTAGATATTACTGTATTCTATTAGGATTTTATGTAAACATCTCAAGCTCTCCTAAAGTCTATATTGTGAAACTTTTGCTTTCATTTCTTTCTTTCTTCCTACCTTAATTTCTTAGCCATGACTCTGTTCACAAAAAATACAAAATAGAAATAAAAACATATCTTTTAAAACTGTGATCACCCCTAGCTAATGCAGTTTGCCTGTCTCTGCCGAAAAGTAAATTTTAACATCATGAGGCTGCCACCACCGTGTTTCTTCATGTCCAAGGTGTGTTAAGGGTGGCCTGTCACACATGACGTTTTGGATGTAAAGTTTAGTTTGGTTCTCATTTGATGAGTTCTTACATAACCTAATGGGTAGCTTTCCTACTTATTTTCTTACATTGCTGTCTCCACTCCTTTATAAACACTAGAATTCTTTTGGAGCTGTGGAATCTCTGCAGCTCCTCCAGCGTAACATAGGACAGCTTCACTCGCCTTGTCTGCTGCATCAGTTTTGTGGATTAATATTCATGTCACACTATAAAAACAACTTGAACAGAGCTCTGACTAATGTTCGTTGCTGATAATATTGCTTTACAACCTCATTGTACTTCTCCACATAATTTTTCCTGACCTGTTTTTTGCACACAAAGACCTGACCTGATCTCCCTGATGCTGCTTGCTCACTGATGTCTTATAAAAGTCTTCTGAGGCCTTTCCAGAAAAGGTCCATATACCCTCAGGAAGGATACACAGATGGAATAAAAGTTCATACTTACAAAAAG